TCAAAAACTGGGTTTTAGGTACCTGAGTTACGTCCATGGAACAAGATTACTGGTATGAGGCCTGTAGAACATGAGTATAGTATTTTTTTCGAACTCAAAAATTTTTTAAAAGGAAAATTTTGGCAGCCATTTGTAGCATGAAAAAACAAGTCTCACTCTACAAGATGTTCATTTGGTTTATCCACTGATTCGGGCTTTGTAAAATTAGGAGTGTTTGGATGGAAATCCAGAGGGCAGAAAAAAGGCGATCGACACCTAATTTTTTCTGGAGAGAAGCTTAAATGATAAGCATTACCTGGAGTAATTAGGCAGATTACAAAAATCAAGTTACTGTAGAATACGGTAGGTATATGCTACAGAGGCGAAGGTCACAGATTTCTCTGAAAAGTGGTATCAAGATGTTATCTGATGCTGCCTACGAAGTATCCGCGAATTAAGCAAGATCTATGATGGTGAAGTCAAAATCACTGACTACAATAAATAATTGGATAATTTTACGTCTACCTGCGAAATGGCTTTACCATGGGGAATGTATTTAAGTTTTGTATTAGCATGTCTAACTCCAATAGACCGCTTTCTAGGCAAATCAGTGCATGTGATATTACATGCGAAAAATTATGACTTTTGTAAGTATGGCCGACTTTTACTAGATAACGTTATTGTGAACTTTGGGTTCCTAACAATCCAGGGAAATCAGACCGTCGGTGGAGCTTTTTTTGCCCTCCAGAAATACATTTTCAACCACTTGAAATTTTCAACCGAAAATCTTTTAACAAATCGGGCATACTATTTTGTGCAAAAAGATTTTTACTTTCAAATTTATACAATGTGCTGTCGAAAATCCGCTATCTTAGAGCGATTTTGTCTCCACGAACTTTTCGGCAATAAATCGAAAAACAAGTTTCATAATTGCAAAACTCTGTGGACAGTTAATACTCACTTAGCCAAAAATTTAAAAATTGCGAGCAAACAAAGGTAGAGAAGAAAATTACGGGATTTTATTAAACGATCAAATAAATTTTAGGTATTATTCTATTATATATTCTAGGTATTACACTCATATGAATGGCCTAAACTAGGCAACTTGTTTTGTCTATTTAAAAGTTGAAAAAACTAAAATAACTAGTGCAAAATGGATATCTTTCATTTTTCCTAAAACAAACCAGACTTATGGCGTCTCCGATCTGACAACCTTTAACATTGGGCACAGTCATGAGATCGAGCAGCTTTTGCAACATTTGATGCAGGTTTTAGACGCCCCACACCTAGAAACATTTGGGCAAATAACAACAAACCAAAACACCCTGCTAAGATTAGTGCCTACTACCCCAGAAGCAGATATAGTTGGAGTGAACTTCAAGTTGGACTTGATTAGAGCACGATCCAGTGCCCTCGTGATAAACCCATATTTGTCCTCTATTTATGGGTCAAACAGGTGGTGGAGTAGGGGAACTAGCGCCGGTCAACACTGTGGAATCCCAATTTAAGGCATTTACCCACTTCTCCTCCAAATTTTCAAAGTCTTTGGTACACACTCAGACACCGCGTGTCTGGTCTCCACATCAAATTTAAAATCACAGTCGCTCTTGCCCTGCTTCCTGCCGGCGAAGAGTTGTCTTTTCTTGAATTTTGACAGCTGTTTTTTGCCACTCACCATAAAGCGAATAATCAAGAGAGCAATCAACTTTATTTGAACGTTAAACATTTAATATGGAACACCCGATAATTCCTCAAAAATGCATGTGATCTCTAAATCTTGAGCAAAATTCCTATCATTATGCGCCAGATATATTTCCTATGTTTTTAAAACTCGTGTCGGCAACGTGGTATGCAGCAGATATTGCTCTATCAATGCCTTTGAATTTTTTTAGAGTATAAAAGTGTTTAAATTGTCCATCCGATTCTTTGATTACAAGAAGAGAATTAAGTGATTGTTGTAACAAGTTTAATATATAATCCAGATAAAGCAAGATTTTTT